CATTTTAAAATGCTTATTTCAGACCCGCATCTGAGACGACCTGCGACCACGCGGGGGTGGGGATGGTGGTGGTGGTAGTGGTGTGTGTGTGTGTGTGTGTGGCTCAACAGTCAAACTTATGTTAGTGGGGAAATGCAAAAGTTTGAAAACAAAATGTAAGTTTATAATCTTTTAGCTTTTAGCCCATCCCTGATTGAAAGAATTCATGGAAATGCACTTGTGGATTCATCCTTAGCATATCAGAAAATGTACCATATTTATTCATTTATAATACGATCTTGAGTATAATACGATTATCATTTTTTGAGCTTTAAAAGCAGTAAAAATCTAATTATCAATAACCCGTGTATAATAATACCCCTTATTTATTCATGTATAATACAATCTTGAGTATAATACGATTGTCATTTTTTGAGCTTAAAAAGCATTAAAAATCTAATTATCAATAACCTGTGTATAATACTACCCGCCCTCACTTTATGGATGATTTTTAGGGTTAAACTTCTCGTATTATACATGAATAAATACAGTAATTGATTTAGTACTGAATATCAAATTCATCAGTGAGGTGAGACAAATAAAGGTATATAGAAATAGACTTGTGCAACAATAGGCCGTCAAGGACATTTGGATCTTTGTTTAATGTCTTTTTTTTAAACTCTGTCAGACTTGACTGTTTTATTTTATTTGTATATATAATGTACGTTGAATCATAGTTGGTCCAGTAAGAGTTATATTAGATTTTTTTTATTTTTTGTTCAGCCTTGAGAAAAATGAACTTAGTAGCTGGTCATTGTGACATTAGCTTTGTTGTTTTTAGATTTGTGTAGTTTAATGTTTAACAAACCAAACAAATATTGAGCTTAATGTAGAAAAAATAATTTTGTTCATGTTTCTGAATAATGTGGAAGATTGTGATTTATTCTGCACTGCAAAATTTCTGAAATTGGAAGCTAGAAGTTGTTTTGGTAGTGCTTTCAGGTGTGGAAACAATTTTGTCAAGACCTAGGATTGCTCTCTTATAATTGTTCTCTGTCTTTACTGTGTTTTATGACTTGATCACTATATGGATAGATTAGGCTAGATTAGATTAGATTAATGCATTAGTTTACAATTAAATCAAGCAGAGTTTGGCTATTTAAAATGTAATTAGTCGTTGATCTCTTCACTGGCATTTTATGTTAAGGATTTATCATCAAGGGTTACAGTGCTAAAGTCTATTTATCTTTTACCAACAACACACAACACTGTATGCAAGTTTTTCTTTCATTCAGCACCCTTTTACCTGATGCAAATACACAGCATACTATAACACATTTGTGGCAATTTTAAAGTACAAATGGACTGCATGTGATGATAGAGCCAGTTTATATTCAATTTACACATAATATTGTGATGTTGCCATGCATTATACAAGAGCTCAGCGAGCTTACTGTGTCCAACTGTAAGCATTTGAACAATTTTCTCTCTGTTTTTTTTTCTTTTTCTCTCATTGTCTTGCTTCCTTTAATTTGCTGACTCTGGTTTCCATCCGGTGGAGAACAATAGCCACGCACATGYCCTCCTTCTCTGCCGGCACTAACCGTGTTTGAAATGGAGCTGGAAACAATGTTCTTTAGTGTAAGGTAAAATTCAGGTGGCAGCAGCGGTCTCCCAAGAGAAGGTATCAGTCAGCACCAGCAGCCAGCCACGCTCCTTGAACATGCTAATTCACTCTCTCTCTTCTATTCCCCAGCTGCTCCTCCAGACTTTCCATGGCTCTTGTTCCTCTTGGATACAGATAGATGCTTTTTTCCTATTCACCTCGCAGTTCTCCTCTTGTGCTCACCTGCATACAAATTTTTCTTTCYGTCAGGTTTCACATTGTCTCAAAGAAAAAAAAAGAGTCAGCTAATACAGCTAATATTAGGGTAGGTAGGTTTAGATTATGAGTTCTCAAAGCACGAGTGTGTACGAATGTTTTCCTTATTTCTAAATTAAACTTTTTAGCTGGACTACAATCGAAGCATAAACAAAAATTCGATAGAACAAGCCCCCCCCATATTTCATATGTTTCAACAATAATAATGATGTGCAAAATACGACCAAATGGMTTGCTGATCATTTAAGACCTTTGCTTCATCCAAACTGCTGAAATCAGCTGTCATTGTCGCAGTTGCATGACATACAGTAAATTGAGTCATTTTCTTTGCTGGTGTGTGCAAAAACGAACATCAAACAACCACGTGACCGCGCGTCGAATCTTCAGCTTCGGATCGAGTATGTGGAGGCCTTAAGTCACAACAACTCAGAATTCTGAGAGAATAAAAAGAAAAATTCGTGTTTTTTATTCTTGAAATTTCCTCGCAATTATAGTCCGGCCCAGTGAAACACTACTTTCAGGACAGAGTAAGAAAAACTAAACTACCAATGAGTTAGATGGCTAAACATTACTTTTAAAAGTTAAAGGGATCCATGACTAGTTGTAACATTAGACTTTATTTGATGAACATTTATTTTAACTGTAAAATAAAGACTACTGTAGGCTGTTTAGGTTTGTAAATTTTTAAAAATATACAGCGGGTAAAATAAGTATTGAACACGTCACCATTTTTCTCAGTAAATATATTACTAGAGGTGCTAATGACATGAAATTTTCACCAGATGTTGGTAACAACCCAATTGATTCATAAAGATTTCATTTCAGAAGTCATTTTTCAGGTATACAGACATATAGAGCAATCT